GTGCTGAAATGGACAAACTAACTAAAGAAATCCAGGGAAAAGAAGAATCAGAACTCTACCAGGTATGGGATAAATTGTATAGGGGGATGGAGGAAAGAAACAAGAATCAATGAAGGGATATAACAAAACTCAAAAAATAATAGTCATGAGTAAAATAAGAGGGTAAAGAATGGTGAAATCCAAATGAAATACAATAGAAGGGGAAATAATATAAGGTGAGCAATATCAATTGATGATTGCTATTATAAAGAACAGAAAGTTCCTGTTCGTATTGTGTAAATGTGGTGTACGTCTAAATTTTGTGTGTGTGTATTTTACATGTTTGTTAATAAAAATCATAAAATAAAATAAAATAAAAGTCACGACTCGGAAGGGAACAAAACCAGCCTGGATTCCCGAGTTCTCTCTTTCTGGCAAGAATGAATGCCTATCACAGGGGTCGGCAACCTTAAACACTCAAAGAGCCACAAAGGTCCTAACCGGAAGCCCCCCGTTGAATTCTGGAGTCGACCGGAGGTTTGGTCCCCCCACCATAGAGTCTCCTCCTAGCACGGAGTCCTTTTTCCTCTATCTGTCCTAACTGAAAGCCCTAACCCTAACCCTATCAATTGTGCAGCCAACTGGCGACAGGGAGCCACAGCAGAGGGATGAAAGAGACACATGTGACTCCAGAGCCACAGGTCGCTGACAAGATGGGAAGGCCATAGACCTGAGCCATCTTAAGAAACCCAGATGTTCTTATTCTACAGCTGCTGATGATAAGAATGGAGAGATCAATTGATCACAACATCCTAAGGATCAAGTACAGGTACTCCTCGGCTTACGACCACAAGGGAGCCCAAAATTTATGTTGTTAAGGGAGAGGTTTCTTAAGTCAGTTTTGCCCCGGTTTTACGACTTTTCTCGCTGTCTCTGTTAAGGGAATCCCCGCAGTTCTTAAATTAGGATTCTTTAATTTTGGAGACATCAAGCATCACAATGTATTCTGGTGGCTGTGGAATCTTGTTTTAGGGGATGAACCAAAACATGGCTTGATGTGACTTCTTGAATAATCGCAGCCATAAATTTGTAAACCAGGATTTATTCTTTTAACATGTTGCATGCGTGCTACAATATGTGACATAGGCCACTGTGCCATTAAACTACTAAAAACCCAAGCCTATACACCCATTTATATCTGAAACTAGTTGATAATAGGGGGAGAATGTCCGGACCAAACATAATTTCTGATGTTGGATTTTCCCCCTTACCAGAGGGAGCCTTGTGGAGTACTGTGAAGCCGTTACCATGGCAACTCTACTGTGCTGTACAGTAGAAGCCATTTTAAGGTACAACAGGCTGTATCTTAACAGAACACACACACACCAAGGGGTGTTAGGGGTGCCTTACCCCCACAGTATTTGTTTCCAGGGAATAAGTCATCTGTGCACCAAGTTTGGTTGAAATTGCTCGAGGCATTCCAGAGTTATGCTGGAAAACACACACACACACACACACACACACACACACACAGAAAGAAAAAAGAAGAAGAAAAAAGAAGATGGTTTCAACTTAAGATATAATTTAGAACTTACTCTTTCCTTTTCCTCTTGTTCTTTCCGTTTTGCTTCGACCTTTGCTTTCTTCTCGGCTTCTTTCTTTGCTCTTTCTTCCTCTTTGAACTTTTTTATTCTGGGATCACAACTGTATGAGTTATCTTGGAACAGAAAGAAAATTTATATACATAGGGCTGGCACAAAATGTGCCATTTAACGATCGGATAAACCAAGGATCTGGGAGTTCATACTTACCCACTAAGGTCCTCATTCTATTCATCTCTTCCTTTTTCCTTAACGATCTGCCGGCTCTGTTTTGCTTTTCAATCCATCTTCTCTCATCTCGACTGCGGGGAAAGACGCTCGGTTTAGCTGGGATACGTTTGCAAAATAAGCCATGGTCCTAGGCCAGTGTTGGTGAACTTCTGTCGCGCATGCACACAGGAAGACCAGCTGGCCGGTGCACATGTGCACGCCGGAAACTGGAAGATCATCTTCCCAGTGCGCGCATGCACACCGGGCAGCTGCTCTTCCAGTTTCCGGCACACACGAGCTCCCGTTTCGACACTCGGTGCCAAAAAGGTTCATCAAAAAACACCTTTGGGGTATAACGGGCCCCTGAGATCACCCAGGTGGCTTCCTATCTAATCGGTGGAATGGCTCGTCTCTAGAAATTGTGGGTGCTCCAACATTGGAGGTTTTTAAGAAGAGACTGGACAGCCACTTGTCTGAAAAAGTGTCGGGCCTCCGGCTTCAACAGAGGGTTGGACTAGAAGATCTCCAAGGTCCCTTCCAACTCTTAATTTTGTTATTCTGAGCGCATGTGCTAAAATAAGCCCCTGAAAATAAGCCCTTCCCGAAAATATTGCAGCACAGCAGCAGCCATGAGGTGGCCAAGCTCGTCTCCTCCTGCACCTCAAAAATAAAAAGACCTCCCCAAAAATAAGGCCAAGTGCTTATTTCGGGGGGGGGGGTGTCAAAAGAAAATAAGATCCTGTCTCATTTTCGAGGAAACACGGTGTATGTATGTAT